GAAAAAAATATCTCAGCTTTTATTGAGAGGTAATGATAGCACTGGATTTGATAGAATCTATTTTTGTGAAGCTAGTGTGAGACTTTTCAAACAGAGATATAGAAAGAGAGTTAGATATAGGTGAAAATAGTAGGACCTTCGTGAAAGCTGACCCATATATGTCTCATATCTTGCAGAAAAAAAGTTAAAGCTTTTAGATTCTTCTGAACCCACCTCCCCTATCCACACACATCACATGATACACAAAACTCATAAATAATCTTATTTCTATGAACTACTTAAATCAGTTCTTAAACCAAGCATTAAAAGCTGCTTTTAAACCCTTATAAAACAATATAAAGGTTCCAACTTTGTTTTTGTTGTTGAAACTTTTTTTGCTTGTGCTTTGTTTTTTTTTCCTTATCTGGGTTTTGAGTCAAATCATGAGACGTTGATTCTGGTAACAGTTGTTCAGAGATGAAGCAAGAAAGCAACAACAACAACAAGAGGCCATACGAATCCCACAACGGATTCAGCAACAACAGATCAGACGGAGGCCACATCCTGAGGCATTTTTTTGACGACTGGCCTCGTTCTGAAGCCGACAATAGTTCAAGCCCCATGAGCTCAGCTACTTGTCTTTCCATCTCCATGCCCGGAAACTCTTCCTCAGACGTCTCTCTGAAGCTGTCCACAGGAAACGAAGAGGAAGGTCGGACCAACAACAACGGGAGAGACCAGCAAAACATGAGCTGGTGGAGCGGTGGAGGGGCCAACCACAACCATCACCACATGGGCGGACCGTTGGCCGAAGCCCTTAGATCTTCCTCTTCATCTTCCCCAACCAGTGTTCTTCATCAGCTCGGTGTCTCGACACAAGCATTTCACTGAACAGTGTAAACAAACCAATACGACATTGCGGTTTTTTAACTGTTTGTTTTGGGTTTTTTTATTCAAATATTAGCTTGTATAAAGAGGGGAAGCTTTTGTTCTTCTCTTCCCCCTTTTAAGTTTTTCCTTGTATCTGTATCCCTTCTCTTTCCACTCAAAGATTTATGTTTCTGAAACTTCATATCTTAAGCAAGTGTTGTGTTCCTATCACTATGTAGAAATGCTTAGTGCTGAAGCATATGAAGCTTTTGAGCAAAATGTAGAAGTGATGAGACTTTTATTTCCTTTTATAAGTTATTATGATGCTGCAAAAGTGAAACTAAAGGAGAGGGAGATAGAGAGTAAATCTTTGTAGTACAAAGAAGCTTACAGTAGTAGGCAAACTCGGACATTCATCTTTTGCTCCTAGACATCTTCGGGTACTAGGCTTACGGGCACAAGAGAAGAACGTTCATCATCCTTTACTGCAGCGTAAACTACAGCTGTTCTGCACGGCGCGTACACCATGAAGGAACGAGGCCTGTCATCGTACCTTCCATCCTGCAGGACAAATTATCAGTTTCTTTGTAATGACTTGGAGAAAGAGTGTTTTTATTCGTTGTTGTTTAGTTCAATGGGCTTACAGAAGTGAAGAACTCAACAGAGTCATCTAGCCGATTGAAGCCTCCGAATAAAGAGTTGTCAGAGTCCAAAACGATCTTGTACTTTCCGGGAATAGAGCAACCGATACGGTAGTCAGAGTAACTGTTGGTCCAGTGTAAGTTAAAGACAAAGACCAAGTTACCTCTCTCGAATACAATGACTCTGTCTCCTTCATCCTTGCGGGATATGTACTGGTGCTCTGAAGTCATGAAACCATAATTCTCCTCGAGATGTTGCATTGCCCGATCAAACTCTTGCAGTCCATGGTATCTAAGATATTCTGCATCTCCCAGATCAAACCTACGTCTGCATTTATCATAACTACCATTGTTCCCAGGGATGACTCTGCCATCAGGAAGGTGCTGGTCAGTCCTCGGGAAGTCGATCCATTCTGGGTGCCCAAATTCGTTTCCCATGAAATTGAGGTATCCTTCTCCACCTAATCCCATCGTAATCAGACGAATCATTTTGTGTAAGGCGATCCCGCGGTCTACACGCGGAGTGGCCTGTCTATCCACGGCCATGAAATCATACATGTCCTACAGAATCACGTAAAAAAAACAAAAGGTTGAGTCAAACAATCTATCTAAATACAACCTGACTTGCGAGTTTCCAGACAGTAAGATGTCAGTTATGCTGTTTGCTGAGTGTTATCAGTAACGAAATTGGTACCTTATCCATTAGCCAGAATGCAATCGTTTTGTCTCCAACAAGGGCTTGATCATGACTTTCTGCATAGACGATACAGTTTTCGCCCCATCTCCTGTTGGTAAGCGTGAAAACTATATCACCAACCTGCCAGTCCTCGTCTCTCTTCCTATAGAAATTAACATAGGAAATCAGTTCAATATGTTATAACAAAATCCCCTCCAGTCTTACTGAAAGGCCAAGAGTTCCAGAGGACATACTTGAGAAGCTCAATCCATTTATCAGCCACTGCCATGTGCAGACGGTAGTCAAAACCCACACCACCGTCTTGGACAGGAATGCAAAAAGCTGGCATCCCACTAACCTGTAACGAAACCAATCGAGATAACAGAAGATTGGTTAATTAATCCAAGGAAGAGACTCAAAATCTAGATATACTTCTGCTACTCATTAGAATCTAGGAGCCATCTGCGATTACTGGACGAGGTTATCAAATGCATGTTCGAGCTTTTAGTAGTCAAGTACATTAAATGAGGCTCTCTAAACCATATATTATATTGAATCAACTTTCTTTCATGATAATGAATTGCTGTAAGCTTTGGTGTCATATAGAGGACACAGACACTCGATGTATACCAGAGATACGTAAAACATCAAGCTCACAATCCACACGAGCTCAATGCAAAATAAGATGTAGAGATCCACACAAGAACCGAGCCAAAAAGAAGAGATGTATCAAGGATACTTTAGTATCACCAAACACGCATATGACTTACATCTTCGCCGACAACAATAGCCTCAGGGTATAGCCCATGAATCATATCGTTCACCAGCATTAGATAGACCACAGCGTCAACATCAGTAGAATATCCAAAGTACTCATTGTAATTCCCAGTAAATTCGACCTGACACAAATGCGAGCAGTCAGTTAGCTTGCAGAAAGCCATGTATTTGGCATTAGAATATTGGTACGATACTCATGTGTAAAAAGGATAGTTACTATCATATTGACCTAAAGAACAAATTAATCCCATACGAAAAATATCACCTGCAGTCCATGATGAGTGTACATCATGGAAGTCACACCATCAAATCTAAAGCCATCAAATTTGTATTCTTCCAGCCACCATCTCGCGTTGGACAGAAGATACCTAAGCACCTACATTGAAAAGGATGAAAAGTTGATACTGAGACGGGCGTATACACCAACATGGTGGTACAATGAAGACTTTCCCAGTAGTATTGCAATAATACTGACTCAACGAAGAGAGACATACTTCCCAGCTTCCGTAATTGAAAAGACGAGAATCCCACATCCAATGATAACCCCGTGATCCAGAGTGGAAATAGTGACCATCAGTTCCATCAAACATGTTCAGGCCATCCAGTGTGTTTTTCGATGCATGGCTGGTGTAATTTGAAGACAATAATTATTATCTATGAAAATGTCCATTTTTAATCAATTCCACGATAATAAGATGATTCTGGAGAAGAGTGTAGAACGGGAGGCCAATACCTGTGCACAATATCCATCAGAACAACCAGACCTAGCTCATGAGCTTTGTCTATCAAAGATTTAAGGTCGTCAGGTGTTCCAAAGCGGCTGCTAGGAGCGAAGAAATTTGTCACATGATACCTGCATTGCATGTAGCGAAGTCACATGGTCATCCATCAAGGAGAACAAAAGATTTTACAATTTCTAAGGATCAACGTATGGCTTTCAACAGGAATGCGTTGGATGATAGGTAGATAGACAAGCTAATCTTGGAGAGGAAAATACCCAAAGCTGGCATAGTAGGAATGCTCTTGAATGGCCATTATCTGAACAGCATTATAGCCTAGCTTTTTTATACGGGGAAGTACATCATCTCTAAAGTTGGCATATGTATTTATCATTGGTTCCTGTAGATCAAAGATAACAACGTTACTCATTATCATATAGACAAAAGTGAAAGTCGTCTGCATTCAAAAACCTGTAACAAAAAACTTCTTAAATTTTCTTTTGCATTCTTATACCTAAACTATCATTATCTAAGGATGATTAAGCCAACAAGCAACTATGAAAGTCATCTTGTTCAAAAGGACTAGTTCCCAAATTCTCTTCAAATGACTAGACCAAACTTTCCACTATCCTCAACAAGCGACGAAGACAAGCACCTACGAGAATTGTCATGTCAAGTGTAGTTTATGTAGTCTGCATAACTTCCACCTCTGTCAGTGATATTTTCACACTTATTGTAGTGAGTACCATGCCAAGAAAAGAGGGAAGAAACGGACCGTACTACTCATTCCAACATGTGATTCATATATGCGCAGTGATGTGGGTCTCCTTGGACGAGGATGTTTGAACACATATTTATCCTGAAACAGTAGACTTCTTAAGGCATTCAGCAAAATCAAAGAACCAGAAAAAGGAGACATATATCAAACCACATACACAGATAATGCTGCAAAAAAGTTAAAACTTAAATACTAAGTATAATGTTTTTTTCTTGGATATCTACATCTTAAAAGAGCTTAGACCATCTCTACAAAATCACCAAAACAAATGAGGTAAAGTACTGGTTTGTACCTCCTCGGCAGGGTCATAATACACTCCATTGTATGGGATCTCGCCTGGCGCCTGGACAGAGTACTTGATCCAAGCTGGAATGGAGTCTTTAATACCAGATGGGGTGTCCATGCGAATCTACCAATGCATGAAATAACATTAAAATTGTAGAAAAGAATTACAAAGCCGACAACTTTGCATGCTTTTCCAAAAGGAAATACACAGCACAGTACTAACTCTCAGCCAATATTTATTTTCGCATGAGACCATCGTATATACACTCAAATATCATAGCCCTAGAAGTTCACTTGGGATACCATGAAGTGTAAGTAAGCTGTCTAGTTTTCTACTGTAAACAAGATCTTTCTTTCTATATTTAATGGAAAATGCAAATAAATGAGGAAAGGAACATGGATTTCCTCCTGGTATTGATATAGAGAATGTCCAGCAGCAGGAAGTTGTAATGAGAAAAGTTGTATACATCTGAACAAATAACTTGAAAACTATCAACATGTCACCTTCAAGCGGGAGCCATGAGGAATTGCTGGTGAGCCATCAGCATCATTTGGCAGAAATATTTCCCACACCCCAAACTCGTTCTGCACAAATTTCAGTGATAAAACTGTCTTAGATCAGAATTCCAGAAAGGAACAGAATGATAACAGGGCAAAGCATGCCCCAAGCTAGGAATCACTTAACATAACTATCAGCTGAGATGGAATATTAAACAAAAGGTCCCAAATTGTGTTATATCATACCCGAGTCATGACATTAGCTTTTGAATTCCAGTTATTAAAATCTCCAATCAGTGATGCTGCCTGGAAAGCAAAATTCAGCCAACTAACTTGTCAGCCAAAAACAGTAACTTAGATATTCAATCAGGGTCAGATACAAGCATGGAATAAAATGCATAGGACAAGACCAATGTCACAACAATAAGGCACTAGTCTACTTTCTCAATACATGAGAACCTGTATAGTAAAATGTGAGCCCAGGCTGATACTTATGCTAAATAGAAAACCATTTGACCAGTTTTGAAATCTGGAACCCAACAGCTCAAAAAAAAAAAAAATATTCACCACCACAAAAAAAATTCAGTATGTTAATATACATCACATGATCAATCAGATTGAATGTGGGAGTACATAAGTTTCAATCC